AAGCGAGAAATCACCCCCCAGGGGGGATGGCCACACCACAATCCCTTCTCCTCCATTCTCCTCTCCGGATCTTAGGCATGCACACACATGTGCCTGGTGTGAGTTTAAGTCACCAGGTCCGGGACTCTAACTGCAGTCGACTACATGGGAATCCAGCGACATAGCCATTATGCTAACCGCTGGTCCCCATAGGTTCTTCATCTGAGAAAGGGCAGACCTGGATTCAGTGAGTCCTGAACAACCGTCTCATTTTCACAGGGTGGGGAATTCCACCCCACACACAGGGGAGACACGCAGAGACCAGAATACCAGGGCGCTCTGCAGTACCTCAGCCAACTTAGGAAAAGACTCCCCTGGCTCAGATGAAATGTTTTTCAAGTGCACATATTCATATACAGTTTGAACAACTATGCTCAGCAACACTGCCTGCACAAGCGCATACGCCTATATTCTCACGCTCCCCTGCACACCCTGGACAGACCCCCCATACCACCAGTACCATGCATGCTTCTCTCCCCCTGACCATGTCAGGCTATGAGTCGGGGCAGATGAGAGAAGTAAAGTAACCCTTTCGGTGTGTTACCCTGGTACAGTACCCAGCCTGAACACCTGGACATGGCATCCGTGTAGAATAGGCTAACCCCATTCCTTTCATATGTGTGAGCTGATTGGAGCTGACCTGACCTGAGAGACTTCCCTTCCCTTCTCACCTCGGAAGCCAGAGGGCTGTGAGAAGCTCGGGGTGGGGCCAAGAAAGGAGTGTACTGAACAGGTGAAGAAGCACGGAGTCGTTTCTAACAGTTTCCCAGCCTCCATCGTGCAGATGGTGAACGTCCTAATGGCAGAGGCTCCCCACTTGCTCTTAGCGCAGCTCCCAGGAGCCACCGTGGCAGGCACTCAGCCCAGCTGCCTTTGTGAGTCACCAGGACATTGCTGCGTGTGCTCGAGATGGCCAATACACAAAGGGCAAGGCCAGGGAGGTGGTCACCTCACTTCCTCTTCTCTCCTGAAGAAGGTCACTGTGCCCCATGACCTGCTCCCAGGAGGATGTTCTGGGGCTCTGGAACCACTTCTCCCCTCCCAGTCCCACTCCACAGGGGTGACCACAGGGGCCATCCCGAGGGGGGACTCCTGCCACTGGTGGTTCAGAGTCAGATCTCTGGCTTCTGGCTTCACTTTTTCTGGCACTTGGAGCAAACCGGTGGTCACACCCATGTTCACCATGGAGAGAACTGTGTGGTGAGCCAGCGCTTCCTCCCGGCTTGACATCACTGAGGCTCAGAGAGAGAAATGGGGACCTCACCTGCCCCATCTGGGAAATGGGGATAATGAGGCCTGCTCCGCACCCTTCCCAGGGCACTATCAAAGTGCTATCTTTTTTTTTTTTGTAAGGTTCTTGCCATAGGGTGCATACGCTTGTTGAAGAGACAGAGAAAGGGAATGTGAGAACTCACCTCCCACCCCGGGGGTGGGGGTGGGGGGCAGGTGGGCACACTGCAATCCCTTCTTCTCCATTTTCCTCTTGGAATTTTATGCACTCACACATGATTTTCAAGCCACCAGGTCCAGGACTCGAATCACTGTCAGCCATGTGGGAATCCAGTGCCTTAACCTCCATGCTATCTGCTGGCCCCCCAAAAGCATTTTCCTATAAATAATTAAAAAAAAAAAAAAAAAAAAATATTCGGATGTGTGGCGATCTGGAGTGTGGTGCTTAGGGCAAGTGGATTGCACGTGGGTGACCCCGCACTTTGAGTCCCTGACCTGGTACATGTGTGTTCATGCCCAAAAATCCCAAGAGGAAAATGGAGAAGGGATTGCAACATGGCCATCCCTCCTGAGAGGTGATTTCTCAGTCTCTCTCTTTCTTTCTCTGACTCTATTCAGTGAGCACACATGCCCTATAACAAACAAAAACATATCCCAATGTGTGTGAGTGTTAAGATCATGTCGTCTCTCTGGACCTCAGTTGCCCCATCTGTAAAAAGCAGGCAATCCCCTCCTGCCTCGCAGGAAGTCTGGAAGAAGCCTGAACCAAGGAAACCCAGATCTACGGAAACAGCCAGGATGGTGGGAGGGGGCAGGAGCGTGTGTGGGGAAGGGGTTGCAGTGGCCAGCAGTTGCCTAGAAACGTGCTAGCTTCGTGAGCCCCTTCGTGCATAGACGCTGACGATGGGCTTTCACCTCCCACCTGCCCCTATCCCAGCCCAACCGCTCAAACCCCAGTGGAAAGCACGCAGGAAGCTCGTGTCCCCGTCCCTACCCCTAAGCATTCACCGGAGCTGGACATGTCGGTCTCCCTTCTCCACAGGGATGGAACCACGGACATCACCAGAACTGTTCACTGGGGCACCCCCTCTGCTTTCCAAAAGGTAAGGATTAGGCCCAGACCTCCCCTTTGTACCTTCTACAGGAGGTATCCGAGCAATTACTTCACCAAGAACCCTTTTATTTGTGAGACTAAAACTGAGGCCCAGAGAGGATACGTACTTTGTCCAAGATCACACAGCAAGTTAGTGCCAGAAAAGCCAGTGCGCCCTGTTGCTTCCCCACAGATAGTTCAGGCCACCACGGCCTCAGCCCAAGCCTGTCCTCATCCTATGTCAGCAAATCCATACCCAGATGCTTTCTTGGTGCTGTGTGCCCGGCCCCGTGCTCAGTAGAAAGCAGGAAGGGAGGCATTTCAAGTGGGGGCAACAGCACAGCAGTCTCAGCAGTGGAAAGGAGTAGGAGGTGCTCAGGAGACAGCGAAGGCTTGGGCGGGGGGTGGGGGTGAGCAGGGAGCCCTGTTCATGCATTCAGCCAATGACTGTGGGCCAGGCGTTGTGCTAGAAACAGGGAGTGGGGAAAGATGGCGGCGGGAAAGACAGCGGCTGGGCCTCCGGAGCTGACAG